CATACTGTACATTATTGTTTCTCCTCTATGCCCCGCCTTTCTGAAACGCGTCGATTTTTACAAAGCTTATCGGTCTGAAAAGTGAGGTGTGTTCTGATTGGCCAGCTATCAGTGCGTTGTGATTGGCCGAATACCTCACGAAAGCGTGTGACGATGTTGTGCCCCTTACCATATTGTGATGCCGTGTTCCGGCGCGACGACACAAAACCAATAAAACCCATTACAAACGAGGCACTTTTTGCATCCAGTGGGGACATAATTACTGATTATAATAACTTATACTGTTTTTTTACGCATTGCGTTGTATCGCGCCACGTAAACATAAAACCATGTCTGCATTTGTGATCAGAGAAATGACAAGCAACAAGTGCTACTCTACACTGTCCGTCACCACAACAAAAGACCCACATCTACAGGAAAAAAAACCGCGAATGACGTTGGGCGCTTTTCTGCTTAGAGTTGTTGTTTTTTTTCAACTTCAGGCACTCAGAGCGCTACAAAAACGCGAGGCGCAGCAGGCAGCTAAAATGCGAGGCATGCAAGACGCTCACTGCCAATAGAAAACAATTTTAAAAAAGGCACCCCTCACTGCAAAAAACACGTTCTTTCTGATCGGGGCCTAATGAAGTCACCATTGGCACTAGTGCTTTTTTTTTTATATCCCAACAAATGGTCCCTTGTTACCCTGCTGCTTCAGCAAGTCATCGAGGTCAGTGTCTCTCGTTACCATACCAGAGTGCTTAATGTATGCTGACATCAGTCTTTCTATGTAGTCTGCTCCATCGACATTCTAATTTATTGAGATGCACCTGTATATATAAGCTATTTGAGTATATAGTGTTATATAGGCAATTAATATAGGAGATATATCTTGATTCGTCAGACCAGGCCACTTTCTTCCAATCATCCCGGTCAAATCTTGATGACCTTGAGCCCATTTCATGTGTTGTTGGTGATGATGGCCTGCAGTTAGACAGTGACAGTCTACAACTTTGGTTTGCATTCTGTAATTCGGTAAAGCAGCTCTAAAAAGTCAATATTGTCATTATTCAGCTCCAGTCTGTTCGGTGTTGATTCAGATCAGTTCAGTAAATCAATTATGAAACAATTCAGTTCAGTTCAGCTATAAGCAGCTCTCAATAGTGTCATTATACAGCTCAAGTCATTGATTCAGATCAGTTCAATAAATCAATTATGAAACAATTCAGTTCAGTTCAGCTATAAGCAGCTCTCAATAGTGTCATTATACAGCTCAAGTCATTGATTCAGTTCTATAACCGTGTCGATTTGTCAATTATGAAACAAATGTGATTCAGCTATAAAGCAGATCTACAGAAGACAACAGTGTCATGATTCAGTTCAACTTTTGTTGTCATCCAATAGTGTCAGTACTGTCAAAGTGATAATATTACTGAATATTTAGTGCCTTTTAAACCCTTTTGAGACTTTAATGTCTGTACTGTATTAATGATTAATATACTGTTATGTCTGTGCATCCTCAGCCACAGAAACAGCAAGAATTATTCCCACTGGGTCACAGTTGTGCAGTATGTGGGAAAAACCAGTGCAAACGCCACAGGTATGATATAAAATCTTTCAAGGAAAATGTTTTTTAAATTAAGACTAAAAGAGTTGTTGGAAGCTTAGTGATGTTGAAGTCGTGCGACCACAATGTAGTCCATTTATAGCTTACATTTAGTTTTTGAATTATGGCTATTGTATTTTGGCTTCAAAATTCATAGTTGTGTTCAAGTTCTGGATTATCATGATGAACAAAACATCCAAGAATCAGAAACCTTTGTTGGTCAAAAGCTTATTTTCTGCAACATTCCAAAAGCCAAATGGAAAAATCCATGGGTTTTTGTCAGGGGAACCAAGGTGATACAAAACTTCTGGGTCGGTCTACAAAACTGCAACATCACTGCAGCACTCAAACTGAAGTCTATTTTTGTGGATAATTAAGATTTTTTTTGTTTACATTTTTACATTACATTCCTGACAAGTAAGCACATTTAAACCCTTTTCCACCAGCCTGCTGTAATGTGGAAAAAAATCCTATATTTAAGGTTCATTATTAATTTTTTGATGATTTAAGTGCAGCTACCAATTAGTATCTCTGTGTTTAAGCAAGGAGTGAGAACACAATATTGGGTTTTAAAGACTTTCTTTTTAAACACTATTCATCTTGGGTTTAAACTTAAAACGCAAAGAAAAATTCTAGCTTGAAAAAGACAGACCAAACAAATAATTCTGTAGCATTCTACAATACAAATTAAAGGGCAATATCAGTTGTTTAGTATTTTGAAAAAAAACATTCTTAAATAATGATGACATAAATGTAATTATTTGTGTTTTTATTCCAAAGACCTACCCTTCTGCTGGAGAACTATCAGCCATGGCTGGACTTAAAAGTGCCGTCCAAAGTGGATGCCAGTATTTCAGAGGTAGAGCCATAATTCCAGTCATGAGTAAAATGATATATAAGCAAATTAATAAATCAAACTAATAAATCCTTTGTTTGACTGATCTTCAGGTTTTGGAGTTAGTTCTAGAGAACTTTGTATACCCATGGTACAGGTGTGTCTGCTTTAAAGGCAAAAGTTACTCTTATTCCATGCTTTAGCTGGAAAAATGTAAGCAATATTCAACTTTTTTTTTTCTTTTATGATGTTTTGCCATTAGAGATATTACAGGTGATGAGGCGTGTGTCGATGAACTGAGACAAACAATCCGTTTCTTTGCTGCAGTTCTGGCTCACCGAGCACAAAGAGTGCATACACCTTCACACAATTCACAATTTACATACTGTAGCTTTCTATAGATTTACAAAGTGGCATACTGACTAAAACTGTCTTGTAGGTGGATGTTCCCTTAGTTTTGATGGACAAAATGATGAAGGCCGCTATGAAGCACATTGAGATCATTGCAAAAGCACAGCAGAAAGGTGCGTCCTGTGATGAAATCATTTAATATCAGAGGAGCTTCGGTCTAGAATTACAAGAACTAAATAAATAAGCTATCAAGAGATGGTTGGTTCTTTGAACTGAACCGTGGGACTTCCATTCACCTATAGAGCATCTCTCATCTTAAGTGTAAAGGACAGTTTGCATTTGTGGCACCATCAGTTTAATTAATTTTGTTAACCATCTTTTTTTGTTCAAATGGTGTGAGCAGTGAAGAATACAGAGGGTCTCCAGCAGGCAGCACTAGCTGAATACGGTGCCGATCTGCATGTGGCTCTGCGGAGCCGCAAAGATGAGCTGCTGTACTTGAGGAAGCTCACAGAGCTGCTGTTTCCTTGCGTCATGCCCCCTAAAGCTACAGACTGCAGGTACATCTCACACACACACTGGTCACTCCTGTTCAAAAGCTTGGGGTCAGTACGTTTTTTCTCACCAAGGCTGCATTTATTTGAAAGAGTACAGTAAAAACTGTAATATTGTGAAATAATATATACAATATACAATCATGGTTTCTATTTGAATATATTTTAAAATGTAGTTTATTTGTGTGATCAAAGCTGAATTTTCAGCAGCATTACTCCAGTTTTCAGTGTCACATGATCTTTGAGAAATCATTCTAATATGCTGATTTGCTGCTCAAGAATTATTGTTTCTTATTATACTCAGTTTTAAAAAAAATTGTGCTGCTTAATATGCTTGTAGAAAACTTTTTTTTTTTCAGGATTATTTAATATATTGGAAATTCAAAAGAACAGCATTTATTTATTTATTTGAAGCAGATTTTTTTTTGTAGCAATATAAGTCTTTTCTAAAAATCGTTCTCAATATTATAGAATAGCAGAGTCCACACCACAGCTATAATGATAAAGGCAAATCACTTTCAGAATGATTTTTTCCAGCTGATGAACGATAAAAACATTGACAGCCAATCAGAATCAATCCTGCTGTCACGAGCTGGAGAATTTAAAGCGGCAGATGCGCGTGCGTTTAGAATAAACGGACGGTATCGTCCGCTGGTGTGGACGCTAATATAGTTATCTTTATAGTTATCGCTCTTGGTGTGAACGGGCCTTTATTCTACCATTCAAAGGTTTGGGGTCGGTAACAGTTTTTTAAAAATGTTTTTGAAAGAAGTCCGAAATACAGTAAACAGTAATATTGTTGGAAAAAAATATAAAAATTTAAATAACACTTTTCTATTTTAATATATTTTAAAATGTATTTTTTATTCCTGTAATTTAAATTTAATTCCTTTCATGGCAAAGCTGAATTTTCAGCAGCCATTACTCTAGTCTTCAGTGTCACATGATCCTTCAGAAATCATTCTAATGTGTTTATTTGGTGATCAAGAAACATTTCTTATTATTCTCAGTGTTAAAATCAGTTGCGCTGCTTAATATGTTTGTAAAAATCATAATATATATTTTTTCAGTATTATTTAATATATAGAAAGTTCAAAAGAACAGCATTTATTTGAAGCAGATATTTTTTTGTAACAGTCTTTGCTGTCACTTGATGAATTTAATGCGTGCTTTCTCAATAAAAGCATTCATTTCTTTAAAAAAAAAAAAAAAAATTTAATTTC